TGATTCTCCTGTCAAATAAGGTAAATGAAGTGGTGGTGGTCTGCCATACAATGACTCATAAGGTGTAGTTTTTATGGCAATGTGGAAGGAAGTATTATACCAATACTCAGCCATATGTAAATAAGTATACCAATCCGTGGCTTCTTCAGAACAGAAACACCTTAGATAGGTCTCTAAACACCTATTTAGGACCTCAGTTTGGCCATCTGACTGAGGATGATAAGCTATTTAGGTGTTTAATTGAACTCCTTGAATTGCAAATAGCTCCTGCCAAAAGGTGCTTAGAAATACTGCATCCCTGTCACTTACTATGGAATCTGGTAATCCATATAGTTTGTATATGATCTCCATGAATACCTTTGAAACAGATTGAGCAGTATATGGGTGTTTTAAAGGAATAAAATGACCATATTTACTCAATCGATCCACTATGACTAAGATGATTTCATACCCTTGAGATTTAGGGAGGCCATCTATGAAATCCATACTAATTTGAGACCAAACTACCTCAGGAATAGGGAGTGGTTGCAGCAGACCAGGATATGCTGCCAAATCCGCTTTATTTCTCTGGCAAATATCACACTTTTGAACAAAAAACTTGACATCTTCTCTGATTCCCTTCCAGTAAAACAATGACAGAATTCTCTTGAGTGTTGCTTCTATGCTAGAATGACCACCTTGAGGGGTAGAGTGCCATAATGATATAATGTTCCTTCTAAGCTAAGAGTCCTTCCCAACTACTAGCTTCCCTTTCCTCCTCAACTGATTATGAATCCATGTAAATTGATTGTGATTGGTGTGATTGGTCTGCAATTGTTCAATGAAATCCTTCAAGTCAACATCTGTGTTCCAACTATCAAAGATAGCCTGCAATAACTCTGAGCTAGTTGGGAAATTACTAAAGAGAATAACTCAGCTCGAGGTACCCTAGATAGGGCATCTGCTACTTTGTTCTCCACCCCTTTCTTGTACTCAATAACATAGTCAAAAGGCATCAGCTTAGTGAGCCACATAAGCTGAGAATTTGTGTGTAGTTTCTGCTCTATTAGAAATTTAAGGACCCTCTGATCAGTTCTTATAATAAATTTCTGACCAAGTAGGTACTGGGACCATTTTGTGACAACATGAACAATAGCTAGAAGTTCTCTGTCATAGACTGAAAGAGCAGCATACCTGGGAGAGAGTGCTCTGCTGATAAAAGCAATAGGGTGCCCTTGCTGCATTAGAACAGCCCATATACCATGTCCACTTGCATCAATTTCAACAATAAAGGTCTTGTTAGCATTAGGTAATGCCAACACTGGAGCTTGAATCAATGTAGTCTTCAGTTGTTCAAAGGCTTCTGAAGCAGCAGGTGACCATTTGAAATTATCTTTCTTGAGGAGGTCAGTTAATGGTTTGCTAATGGAACCAAACCCTCTGATAAACCTCCTATAGTAACCAGCTAACCCAAGGAATCCTCTAAGTTGTTTAACATTATTAAGTACATGTCATTCCTTCACAGCTTCTATCTTTGGGGGGTCTGTTGAAATCCCTTCAACAGTAATAAAATGCCCCAAGTATTCTATTTTTTGAACCCCAAAGAAATATTTGCTCTGCTTAGCAAATAATTGATGCTTCTTCATTTCCTCAAAAACAGATTTCAAGTGCAACAGATGATCATCTATGTTGCTGCTATATATTAGTATGTCATCAAAAAAGACCAAGACATACTTCCTAAGGAACTTTTGAAAAACTGAGTTCATTAATCCTTGAAAAGTTGCAGGAGCATTTGACAACCCAAAGGGCATTACTAAATATTCATAATGACCAGCATGGGTTCTAAAAGTAGTCTTTGGTATATCTTCAACTGCCATCCTTAGTTGATGATAACCAAATCTCAGGTCTATTTTTTAGAAGATTTTAGATCCTCTTAGTTCATCCAGTAAATCTTCTACAATAGGAATAGGGAATTTGTTTTTTTACTGTTTGCTTGTTCAAATCCCTATAATCGACACACAACCTCTATGTACCATCTTTCTTTTAAACCAAAACTACAGGTGCAGCAAAGGGACTGTTACTTGGTTGGATAATACCCTGATCTAGCATCTATTTTACTAAGGTCTCAATAACATCCTTCTTGACTGAGGGATACCTATATGGTCTTTTATTTATAGGTTCAGTTCCAGTTTGAAGGACAATCCTATGATCAAACACTCCTCTAGATGGTGGCAATTGAGTAGGTTCTTTGAACAACTCCTTAAACTCATTTAACAATTTCAGTAGTCTAGGATCTTGTTCAAATGTCTCCTTATTTTCCACAGAACAACATTGTACTTTATTACACATAGTAGGAATTACTTGTATCATGCATAATTCAGATTGTTTACCTGGAATTCTGGATAACTTTCCAGCTCCAGGAGTCAAAATTTGCTTCCCTGATCCTCTAAGTACATGCTTCCTTCCTTGGTAATAGAACTCCATGGTAAGTATTCTAAAGTTCATTTTGATATCCCCCAATGTTAATAACCATTGTACTCCTAATACCACCCCACAAGATCCTAATGGCAGTAGTAAGAATTCAACAGAAAATTCAGCTCCATGTAGAAGTCAAGAGATTTTGCAAACTTTATCCACCTTCAACATGTTCCCATTAGCTACTGCTACCAACTGTGGTGTAGTTTCTCTCACAGGGCATTTCAATATCTCCACTAACTCAGGATCCATAAAATTGTGAGAGCTTCCTGTGTCCATTAAGATGAGCAAAGGCTTTTGAGAATGATACTCAAACACTCTTAGTGTCCTGTACCCCAATGATCCATTCAGAGCATGAATGGAAATTCCCACCTACTCCATTGGTTGTGTCAGTTCCATCTCCTGCTCTTCTAGTTCATTCACTACTTCTTCTGAAAACAACCCCTCTTCTGGTTCTTCCAATTCAAGCAAGTATATTTGCTTCAAATTCTTACACTTATGCCCTACTACATATTTTTCATTGCAGAAGTAGCATAGGCACTTAGCCCTTTTTTCATTCATCTCTTCTATACTCAAAGTTCTCCTGTTAAATCCTTTAGAAGTCCCAGCATTACCTTGGTTAGGAGTTGGCAACAATGGTATGCTATTGCTTCTTTGATCCATGACCCTTCTAAGAGCACTTGCTGGTACATTGCTAGTTGAAGAAGGTAGCCTAATAGCAGCTAAATAGGCCTCTTGCATCCTAGCAGTTTTGTACACCTGAGATAGGGTTGTGGGATTAGTGAGTTTTACTGCAATGTTCAATTCATGTTTCAGTCCACCAAGAAAACAACTGATGGCATTTTCTTGTGACAGATTCACTCTTGTGAGATTCCTTTCAAAAGCAGCTTGGTACTTCTTAATTTCTTCCATAGGATCATCAAAGTTTACTCCAAATCTTTCCACCAATGCCATTACATACTCAGTCCATGTAGCTGGTTGAAGATATTGTCTATACCTCATAAATGTTAAATGCCACTGTATAGCTTCACCTTCTAACTGCATTGCAGCAACCTCCACCCTTTCTTCAGCAGGAACCTTCTCCATGGAGAAGAACTGCTCAATTTTGAATAGCCATGATTTCAGATCTTCTCCATTAAACCTCAAGAATTCCATCATTGACCACCTCGAGAAATTAGAATTGTGATGGTTATAACAGCCAGGACTCTTTTCTCTTGGTGACCTTTCATCAGATGGTTCGCCTTCATTTTGCATAGGTGTTTGTTCCCTTCGATTTTCTCCAGAATGATTTAACTGTTCCTTTAGTTCGAGAACAGTTTTGTCCAAACGTTTCAGATTCAAGACTTCTCCAGATAAAGTCCCAACTTTTGTGATTAACTTCTGCATCAATTCACGTAAATCCCCTGTTTCTTCTGTGGTTGCGTCATTCAATCGAGCACCTTTCACCATGATTGCCGAGGATGATCAGCTCTGATACCACTGTTACTCAATTGCAGGAATTCAGCGAGGAATTCGAGGATCGAGTAGCTGTTCAGGAGTTCGAGGACTCAAGAATTCAGCTATGGAGTTGCGAAGAAGAAAATATAAAGAGGGGAAAAGAAAGAGAGAGAGAGAGAGAGAGAGAGAGAGAGATAGGAAGAGATTTTAGAGGAAATTGTAATAGTTTCATATATGGTTTGTAACTATGAATTACAATGCTATATAAGAATTGAAAACGACTACTATTTATTATAATTGAAAGAATCCTTCTCTATTGTTCTTCCTAACTAACTCTGCTGACCTCTAACTAACTTTTAACTCCTTCTAACTAACTTTTAACCACTAAGCTGACGTGGTATTGAGCTGGATTGGTTCTTGAGTTTACTGTGTAATTTGTGTATCAGAATGGATAATTGAGAGTGAGTGGTATGTGAATGGAAGGAGACGCACAAAATATGAACAATAAGTTGGATAGGCTCTCTCAAAGGTGAAGGGAGTTTTGTGAGTTCAGCTTAGAGGCAGAAAGTACTAGAAGAGACCTGGAAGTCATAAGATAGGTGTTGTATCGATACTGAACTCTTACATTTGGCTTTTACTTTTATCGACTGTTTCGCAGGATTCCATTTCTTCTCATAAGAGCTAAATAAGGCAAAGGAAGAAAGCTGGATAGGTGCTTTAAGAAGGTGCGCTGTTGACTCCCATAGGCAGAAGATTCCTATCATGTTGGGCTCCCTTAAAGCGAGTTCTATTCTTCCATCTTAGAAATGAAATAGTATGTTTTAAATCATATGTGGAGTATGTTAGTTTTGAGGGGTAGGTCTAAGCTATTGAGATAACAGTAATGGCTTATTTGGGACCAAAATTCAAACGGAGAATATAGTTGTCCCTTTTCCAATAACTGAGGGAGAATATTGACTCTTTCCCAATTAAAAATACACCAATTTACATAGTGGGCCGGTGCCAGCCTAGCAATATATCAAAATGCAGTGGGGCATTTATTTAGTAAACTAGTAATGCTTTACAAAACGTGTGCCAGGCTAGCCAGACCTCAAAAGGGGACAACTTGTCAAAGATTCTGGCTTGGCAGTCTTTTATACTACTACTATACTTGCTTCTGTGCAGCTTCCACCCAAAAGAAGATGAAGTGGCCAGAGAGGAAGTGTGAAGGCAGCTTAGACTTCCTCCAAATTAGCACGTGACAAATTTGAGATTGTTTAAAAAAAGCCTAGCTTGTGGCATGCTTGTCCTAAAGTTGAGGAAGCATCTTACTGTTAGCTTAATTATTTGTTACTCTTAATATATAAGTTCATTATCAAATTCAAGGTGACTCTCAAAGAAAGGTCTTGCTATTTTTTCCTTACAATGCGAATCTTCTTCCTCATGTTTTTCTTCTTAATTAGACTGTCTTTCCAAGAAAATTTATTTACAAGCACGGAAAAGTCCGTCTTACTAAGTTTGAAACAGCACTGGAGCAATCCAGAGATCTTCCAGTCATGGGATTTGAAATATTCGCCATGTAGTTGGTCAGGAGTGTCATGTATGAATGGCTTTGGCAGAGTCACACAGCTAGTTCTAGGAGGAAATAACATTACTGGAACAATTCCATCAACAATATGTCAGCTCAAGAACCTTACCTTGATTGATCTCTCCAACAACAACATTTTTGGAACTATACCAGTAAGCCTGATGGACTGCTCAAAGCTACAACACCTGGACTTATCCAACAATTATTTGAGAGGCCAGATTCCAGGTGAGTTGTTTAGGATGGATAGATTAGCCAATTTGTATCTTAAAGGTAACATGTTTTCGGGTGAGATGCCAAAAGAAATATCAGCATCCCAACTGGAAAATCTTGATCTTTCTAGGAACTACTTGAACGGCTCGATCCCAGAAGAATTTGGGAGCTTGAAAAAACTTGTGAAATTGGACCTGTCACATAATTCTCTAAGTGGTTCAATTACTAATCAGTTGTTCCAGTTGCATCATTTGCGTCACTTGTTACTGAGTCATAACTACTTATCTGGCGTGATACCTAATGCAATGGACTTGTTTAGTTTGTATAGTATGGATCTTTCTCATAACCAATTGAAAGGTTCTATACCAAAGAGATTTTGGGATTTACCTGGATTGCATGCTTTAGATTTGTCTTATAATCAATTATCAGGAGACATTTCTGAAAGTATAGAACATCTTTTGCCTAGTAATACTTTAAGGCTTTGTTCCAACAAATTCTCAGGGAGAATTTCTGCTGAATTTGTGAAGCTAACATATGAAGACAATTGCTTTGACAAGTCCAACCTTTGTTCTACATCCAAGAACTCCTTCCCTGATTTACCAAGCTGCTCTTCTGGTGATAAGGTTCGAAAGTTTCTGAGAGAAAAACACTTGATTATCATAATTCCTGCTGTAGTTGTTGGAATAGCTATACAGTCAGTATGGATATTTTACATGGTCAGGAAGCATTGGTGGAAAAAAGACTGCATATCGATGCAATTAGTATGGATCTTTTCCTTGATCAGAAAGCCTTGGTGGAAAAAGAAGCAGAACATTGAAGAGGACTTGAAGTTAATTTCATTTCACAAGTTGAGGGTAACTACGGAGGACATTATGTCTGGCTTGAAAGACGAAAATGTGATAGGACATGGAGGATCAGGGAAGGTCTATCGAGATGTGATCGACCAAACAGGCGATACTTATGCTGTTAAAAGTATACGGCATGACAAAAGTTCAGGTGGAAAACTCCCAAAGGATTTTTTAGCAGAAGTTCGAATACTTGGTAGCATTCGACATAAAAACATTGTCAAGCTCTTTTGCTGCATCTTTAGCGCAGACAAAAACCTTCTAGTATATGAATACTTTGAGAAACAAAGCCTGGACAAATGGCTTCACAGAAAGAGAAGAGCAGCCTCACCAGGTCAAAGTAGTACCCCACCCTTGGATTGGCAAAAGAGATTAAAAATAGCCATTGGTGCAGCTCAAGGACTCTGCTATATGCACCATGATTGCACTCGGCCTATCATTCATAGAGACATTAAGTCCAGTAATATCCTTCTAGACTCGGAATTCAATCCAAAAATAGCAGATTTTGGGCTAGCGAAAATGCTAGCAAAGCACGATGATGATCCTGAGACAGCTTCTGCTATTGCTGGAACTTTTGGTTACATTGCCCCTGGTACATTACAGTTCAAGTTATGTATTTTCACCTCTTGAGTATTTCAAAAAGAATTTATCCAACTCTAATTTTGAAATTGTATTTGACAGAGTATGCCTCTACATTCAAAGTGAATGTGAAGACTGATATCTATAGCTTTGGAGTGGTGCTATTAGAATTGACAACGGGGAGAGAACCCATTCTCAGGGACGAACAAATGAATCTAGCACAATGGTCTCAACAGCATTTCAGGGAGGGCAATTCCATTCTTGAGGCGGTTGATGGAGAAATCATGGAAGCAATTAATTTGGAACAAATGACGAGTGTTTTTAAACTAGGACTGATGTGTACTGGTGCATTACCATCTGGTAGGCCGTCAATGAAGGAGGTTTGCTACATGCTTCAAAGCTGCAGAGACCCCAAATTTTGAGGGAGGATAATGTGTAGTCTTATGTCAACAAGCACAGTTCTTATTTGTAAATGAAATAGAATGACAAAGCCATGTTGGTAACGATGTCTCCAGAATGTATACTCTAGCATCAGCCCAATGCTTCTTCATCATTCAACTCAAAACTTTACTTCAACTGATCATTCCAAGAAAATAACCTGTTAGACCGGATAATTGCTCAAAGTTACAACATAAATGGTACGTGTACAAGCATTATTTGAAACAGCAAAATCAAGGCGAGTCATTTTGCATAATAATATGGTTAAATTTACAGCCGTTTTAGACACTCGATTGCATTGGCATGTTCAAGTATTGCCAAATTCTACTTCTTACTTCTATAGGGATAAATTTAAGTTTAGAAACTTTAACTTCGAAAGAATAGAACTAGTTTCAAAAAACTTTTTATACTGTTGTGATGTGTCACTGAAAGGATATCTACACGTAACACTTTGATAAAGTGGTTATTCTTCCTTTCAGCTTTCTTTACATAGTTTTCTTCCTTTTATAGTAGCCAACGGGAGCTTTGGCGTAACTGGTAAAGTTGCTGACATGTGACCAGGAGGTCACGGGTTCAAGCCGTGGAAACAACCTCTTGCAGAAATACAACCTTTCTCTAGGAAGACGTAGCAACACTTAGTAATAGAATTTGCAAAACTTCCTTCATAGAAGGCCTAACAGAAGGCATACTACTGGTGCAAATAAGCCCCAATTTGAACATGGAGCTCATTTCTTTCAAGACACATGCTTCCTTGATTTCTTCATCAAAAGCATCAATGATTGGATTGCCTTCTTCACGATGGTTCCATGCCCATTGTGCAAGGTTCATATGCTCGTCTCTGTTTATTGGTTCTCTCCCAGTAACCAGCTCCAATAATACCACACCAAAGCTGTAGACATCGCTCTTGACATTCACTTTTGACGTATATGCATACTCTTAAATTCCAAGAATAACAAGGTATTAGGATAAAAAGAATAAGAAACATAACTTGTATTCTAATAATGAGATATACCTGGTGCAAGGTAACCAAACGTGCCAGCGATAGCAGAAGCAGTCTCCGTCTCTCCCCACTTAGCCAAAACCTTAGCCAGTCCAAAATCTGCAATTTTGGCATTCAATTCATGGTCTAAAAGGATATTGCTACACTTAATGTCGCGATGAATGATTGGTGGGGAGCACTCGTGATGCATGTAGCATAGACCTCGGGCAGCTCCAACTGCAATTTGCAGCCTAGTATTCCATTCCAAGACACAATGTGCTGAAGCAGTAATAGCTCTTTTTCTCTTGTGATGCAGCCAGTTGTCCAAGCTTTGATTTTCCATGTACTCATACACTAAAATCTTTGAGTTTCCACTAGAAATGCAGCATAACAACTTCACAATATTGGAATGTCGGATGCTACCCAATACTTCAACTTCTGCAAGGAACTGTTTCTCAAGTCTGTTGTCTAAATTTCCCTTGTTCCATATTCTCTTAACTGCGACAAACTTCCCATTAGGATTAACACCAACTCGATAGACCTTCCCTGAACCTCCACTTCCAATCAAGCTTTCTTCTGTCATATTCACTAAAATTTCAGATTCTGTGAATTCTAATCGTTGAAAAGAAATGAACATCCACTCTGGATCTTGGTTCTCATGCCTCTTCTTACTCCATATGAATTGGACTACAGAGAAATTCCAGCTCTTTTTAACTATGCAGCATAACAATGTTACAATGAGTAAAAATCCAATAGGAGCCGCAATGGCTATAGCAACTCTGGTTTTGCGACTGCAACGTGGAACTTGGATGTAAAGAGTGGTGTAACTGCTACAGAGATTGAGATTATTGCTAAATAAGTAACCATAATTCTTGTCATATTCTCGTGGAATATATCCAGAGAGCTGATTTGACGAAAGATCCAATGTGCTTACTCTTAAATTTCCAGCTATAGTGGGTAAACTCCCAGAAAATTGGTTACCCTGCAGATACAGAGTATCCAGCTTCTTGAAAAGAAACAAGTAGCTTGGAATTGAGCCGTTTAGGTGATTTCCTGAGAGATCCAATGTCCTTAATCTCAAATTTCCAGCTATATTTGGTAAAATCCCAGAAAATTGGTTATGTTGCAGATACAAAGTATATAGCTTCTTGAAATGAAACAAGTAGCCTGGAATCGAACCATTTAGGTGGTTTCCTGAGAGATCCAAGACTTGGAGATTTGAAAGACTAAAAGATATTTCTTGAGTTTTCCTCATCATTTCCAAATTTGCTGCCAAAGTCGGTAACCTACCAGAAAACTGGTTATCCAGCAAGAGAAGAGAGGTTAAATTCTTCCAGTGGAAAAAATAGCTTGGAATCGTTCCATTTAAGTAATTGCCAGACAGATCCAAGGTCTCTAGACCTGAAAGAGCAGAAAATGTTTCTGGAATGCTCCCCATCAAATTTGACTGACTAATAGTTAAGTATTTCAATTTCTTCAATTTTCCGAATTCCACTGGAATTATGGCTTGCTTAAAGCTCTCAATATAGGATATATCCAAGGTCTCAAGCTTTGACAAATTTCCAATTTCTTGGGGTATTGACAAGTTGAAATTATTAAATTTAAGAGACAGATATTGCAGTTCAGAAAGCTGACCTATGGATCCTGGGATCTCAGTGAAGCTGTTTCCAGCAATATCTAAATGGATTAGCCTCGACAAGCGATTAAGGTCACTAGGCAGTGGTCCATGGAATTGATTCCAAGAAAGATAAAGAAACTTCAGCTTTGAGCAATTGTACAAATATGTAGGAAATTCTCCTCTGATGTTGTTGGAGTTCAGGTCTATCTCTTCTAGGCTTTTGAGTCCACATATATTTGGTGGAATTATTCCAGTAAGTTGTTTCTCTCCGAGATGGATGCTTGTGACAGAACCATTTCTGCATTCTACACCAAACCAATTGCAGTATGAGGAATCGGAATTCAATGACTCGAATCCTAGTTGATCTCCCCATAATTGATTCAACTCTAACAGAATGCTCTTCTCATTTTCATATACGTTACTCTGTGAACCGGCCTGGAAATGTAGAAAGACAAGTATGGAAACAATGAAACTGTAAACTTGTTTCCTGGGAATAGAAAATGCAGATTTGACAACATGGTTAATTTTCATGGCTCCTTTTGTTTGATTCTCCATTTTCTGGAGTATATTACTATAATACTACCACAGGATAGAGTCAAGTTTAGGCAAGGGGTTCACTTGCGTTGTGCATATTGATACTTACTTTTTGTTTCTTTTTATTACAATGAAGTCAGTCAAGTGAACATTATGAATTAATTTAATAAAGAACTAGTACTGTATTAACAACAACAGAAAAGGTGATTCAAGTCAAAGTATTCCCTTGTCAAGTAAATCCGAATTTGCGTTTGTTTTTTTAGGGTGGAAACTGCAGTGTGCTTTCCTAATAAAAGCACTGGAAATAAATCAATGTGAAAAGACTATCAGGCCAGAATCATTGGCTAGTTTGTCTCCTTTTGAGCAAGCCCAGCTACCAACTGTTTTCATAAACTGAATTTATTACAACAAAATTGACATTTTATAAACGGAAAAGGGCTAAATTACCCCTATCTTATGGTAAATGGTTTATAAAAATCCCGTCCATCTTTTTATTATCAAATATACCCGTGACTAACGGAACTCCATGTGGGCATCTCATTAAATAATGTGGCGTTTTTTCATTCGTCCACGTGTCTCAGTGGGGATGAAATTATATTTGGGTAATTTTCGACCCATTTAACCGATCCGACCCTTTTTTTATGTGGGTCACTTATTTTACCTTATACCCAACGATTTGCTTGCATTAATTGTTGGTGGTGATAAAAACAGAACGCAGCCCTTTGAGGGTGATAATTCGGAACAATTACCATCAGAAATCTCCTATCAAAGTCTTGAGCCTACAAGTAAGTCTGTCTCGAATTTACCTTCTTCAGCGCTTGAGGGGCCTAAGCTTGTGTACAAGTCCAGTAAAAGGGTGGCAACACCGATGATCCTTACTTGTGAAGACCTTGAGCATACAATGTTGTCAGAGTTCAGCGAGAAGAAGTCTAATTCACAGCCACAAGGCTGGAGTACTAAGCGCACAAAGACTGAAAAACCTGTAAATGTGGATAGCCAGGCATATCAGACAGGGGCAGATCTAGGGTGTAATATACGGGTTCTCGAGAACCTAGTAACTTTTGCGTAGATCCTGTATTTTTGTTAAAAAAATTATTAAATATCTATAAATGTCTATTTGTGAACCCAGTTATTATTGTTTATTAATTTAAAATTGCGACAGGAACCCATAAACTTAAAATCCTGATCCGCCTCTGATATCAGCACCTCCTTTCATTATTATAGAAGGGGCCAAATCTTGGAAATGTGACACAGAGGTCCAAGGCTGGCATTGAATCATTGAAGGCACGTGGTGAGACTACCGTGCAAGACAGATCTAGGAAGGAAGATAACAATACTCATGCTTCAGGGAATACATTCACTCTTGAATCGCTTTTTGGAACTGCTTTTTTCGAGGAAAAAAACAAGATTTAATTAGTTAAAAAGAGAAATTTTGGGGAAGAAGAATCGGTTAAGCAACTTGACGACCTAGGTTTTAAATTGGGGAAGAAGACAAGTAAAATATGTAGGTATAGATTTAAAAGAGCGGTATAAGGTAAAAGGAGCGGGTCGGATTGGTTAAATGAGTCGAAAATTACCCAAATACAATGTCATCCCCACTAACATATGGACAAATGAAAAAACGCCACAACATTTAATGAGATGCCCACATGAAATTCCGTTAGTCGCGGGGTATATTTGATAATAAAATTAAAGTTTTACATATTTTCAGACGGATAGATGGACGGGGGCTTTTATAAACTATTTACCATACGATAGAGGTACTTTATGCCCTTTTCCGTTTTATAAATCATCTAATCTTTTTAAAATCTAATCTTACTCTAGCAATTATTTTCATAATTTGCAAATCCTACTACTCACTTTCTTCTTCCTAATTAGCTTGTCTCTCCAGGAAAACTTACAATTTTCAAGCACAGAACAGTCCATATTGCAAAGCTTGAAACAACATTGGCGCGATTCGGAGTTCCTCCACTCCTGGGATTTGAATTCTTCAGCATGCAATTGGTCAGGAGTTTCATGCGTCAATGGCAAGGTGACAGAGCTAAATCTTGGAGAAAAGAACATTACTGGAATAATTCCATCTACATTTTGTCAGCTCAAGAACCTTACCTTAATTGATCTCTCCAACAATAACATTTCAGGGACCATACCAGCTAGCCTGAAGGACTGCTCAAAGCTACAACATCTGGACTTATCCAATAATTATTTGAGAGATCAGTTTCCAGGTGAGTTGTTTGGGATGACTAAATTAGTCAATTTGTATCTTAACGGTAACATGTTGTCTGTGAATTGTGAGACCTATGTAACCTAGGGCTCTGATACCAACTTGTCACGACCCGGATTTTCTACCCTTGGGAGTCGTGATGGTGCCTACTCGTAAAAGCTAGGCAAGCCGCGAAATGCGGAAAAATTCAATCGCTTTCATTTTTGCCTTTTTAACCAATTAAATTAACGAGTGATCAGCATTTAAATAATGGCGAAAGATGAAATTTAAGCGGAAGACTTAAATAAATGTAATACCAAAATCGATACGAAATAAAAGCCAACATATATCTCTACCCAGAAACCGGTGTCACAACATTAATGGACTGTCTAGGAATGCTACATACAAGTGTCTGAAAAAGGGGATATAGTCTGTCTCGGATACAAAAGAAAACAGAACATCTAAATAGATAGAAGAGACGTCGGGCCTGCGGACGCCT